ACTTTTACTCAGAACTCTAGAAGTGCTTCCATGTTAGTGTTGACATGAGCTGTTCCCTTGGCTTCAAATATTCCTTCTACAGATATTTCCCTTTAAAACTCCCTCATTTCTTTTAAATCTTTGCTACTGCTAATATGAATTTTTTAATTTCTTTTTACTATCCATATCAATCAGTGGAAAATATGGCTTCTTGACTGTTCTTACCACTCTGGAACTACAGTGTTGATAATAATCATTTAATCTAAATTATCTCCTCTCCTTTCAATTAAAAGTTGTAGGTTTTGTTTTTAAATACACATTTCTGCCTCATGATAAATACCGGTCTTGTATGCTACATTTGTGTTGGGTGTATAGGACAAAACTCGCAAGGAGCTGTCTATGGTGGTCTATTTGAAAATTCACAATTGTGTGTCAAATGACACAAGTGAGAAAGCTGGTATATTTCAAATCTATATAATTCCATGGTAAGCTACATAGTAAATTATGAAACTGCTCATTTTTTTTCCTTTGTGAGAGAAAGAGAAATCAACAGAGAAAGAGATAGGTATTTTTGACAAGGTCGTGTTGTACCACAATTTTCCTGCTCCTTCCTACCAATTAGTTAGGATCACAGGCATGCACGACTGTACTGCGTGTGTTCACATTAGTGTGGGAAGTGAACCGGGGTCTTCCATGGGGTTTCTGGCCTCTAAAGTAGCACTGCTACCTGTGTGCCACCATGGCTGGGCAAATCAGAAGTTTTTATTTTTTTTGGAGAGGGTTTTGCTATAGGGCACATATGCTCGCCAAAAAGACAGAGACAGAGTGACAGAAAGCGAGAAATCACACAGCAATCCCTTCTCCTCCGTTCTCCTCTCAGGATCTTGGGCACGCATGCACACACGTCTGGCGTGAGTTTAAGCCACCAGGTCTGGGACGCGAACTGCAGTCAACTACATGGGAGTTCAGCGATGTAGCCATTATACTAACTGCTGGTCCCGACAAAAGTAAATATTGATTGTCTATTTATAGATTTCTGCGGTCACCTTCCATCAAACATACAAGGAGTTGCTAGTTGCTATTCATTTCAGATATTACCTCCTATTCCTCAGATTACATCACTTTAGTCATTTTGACACCTGTGTGACAAGAGAGGTATGGAGATTGTGGGTTTAATCACTGAAGTGAAGCAAGCAGTAGAGGAGTTTGTGGTGAATGGTGAAGTTCTCAAAATATTATTACTTGGCTTGATTCAGCCTCCACCATATTGCCATCTTTAAGAGGGGAATTGTATCAGTGTCATGAATCTGTAAATTTCTGAATAAAAAATTGATATTCAAGAAATATTTAATATGGAGAGATTTTGTCCAGGAAAATAAACATCACCAAATTCTGGGTAGAGAAAGGAACTACCATCTGACATGCAGTTCAAATTCAGAAGACTCATAATCCATTTCTAAATAGAATAATCTCTTTCTCATCCCCCCTTATACTAGTTAGCTAGTGCTGTTGTAGCAAAGGATCACAAAATGGGTGGGTTTTACAACAAACTAGATAAATTTGTTGTTTCCGTTTTGAAGGGTTCTGACAGAGTTGGTTCTTTTATCTTTTAATAGCATTCTCCCTGAGTGCATGACTCTGTGCCCAGATAAACATTTTTAATGAGGAGACCAGTTACAATGGATTAGGGCTCACCCCAATGACCTCATCTTACTAATTACATATATAGTGACCCTATTTTAGAGTTATGTTGGAAGTAGCAGGTATTCTTATCCTCCAGTGAAATAAAGATTGATTTGAGGCTTCAGAAACTCAACTGAGGTACTAGGGGTAAAGATTTCAATGTATACATTTTAGGGGAGTATAACTCAATACATACCTCTTACCCCACCCCCATATATCTTCCCAATATATGATTGCTTTTGGTTCTTATTCTTTATAAATTAATTTTTTTTCCTTATTTGTGATAGATGGTGTGTGTGATGAGGGTGAGAGAGAGAATGAGATAGCAGAACAGAGTGTTTCCTTCCAGTCCTCCGGTCAGTCAGATCTCAGACAGTTGAGCGCGTGCCTGGCGTGTTCAAGTTGACAGGGCTGGGTAATACAACTGCAGTCGCCATGCGAGATCCAGATTCTCTTGAGCCATGCATTACCCTTGTGACACAGAGTCAGCCCCTGAACTCGTTTTTTATTTTTATTTATATATTTATATTTGAGCTGTTGTATAGAGTTGAATTCACTCACTACTTAGTATCATCATTGTCCTACAGAACAGTCTTTGATTTATTCTGTTTTTACTTCATTCCCCATTCTCATTTGCTTTCTTTCATAGGTAACATCCTAATATTATGATTTTTTTTGCATGTTTTTATATTGTTTCTATGCAATTTTTCCTGTGTCATCCTCTTCTATTGTTTCTTCTAGGTGTGTGAGCTCTATTTATTTTTGTTTTTAGAGAGTATTTTTTTTTTGTTATAGGGTACTCGCCAGAGAGACAGATAACAAGAAATCTCCCCTCTGGGGGGATAGTCACTCTGCAAACCCTTCTTCATTCTTCTCTTGGGAATGGACACGCACGCACACATGCTGTGTGTGAATTTTAAGTCGCCGAGTCCAGGACTTGAACCAAAGTCGACAATGTGGGAGTCCAGCAATGTAACCATTATATCATCTGCTGGTCCCATCTCTCTTTTTTTAAAATTTTGCTTTAGAGGCATGTGTACTTGCCAAGGGAGAGGAGAGAGAGAGAGGAGAAAGTGGAAGAAATCACCTAACAGGGAAGATGGCTACAATGCAATCTCTTCTTTTCCTTTTTCCTCTTGGGATTTTGAGCATGCATGCATCTGCACCTGGCTTGTTTTCCAAGCTTCTGAGCCCTGGATTTGAACTGCACAATGGGCCACGTGGGATACAGCCAACTTAATCATTATGCTTCTGGCTGGCCTACAGACTCTTTTTTTCTTTTTTTAAAGAATGGTTTTATTTAACTTTATTTATTTATTTTAATTTGACCAGAGAAAGACAGAGTGAGAAAGAGAAAGAGAGAGAGAGAAAGAGAGAGACAGAGAGAGCAAGCCAACAGGTCCAAAATTCATATTGCAGTCAGCCATGTGGGAGTGCTGATACCATGCCGTTTCACGTCTTAAACATGTGTGAGGAACAAAAGTTCGTGCTAATTGAAGAACTAAACAGAAGATAATTATTTTAGCTCATCTCTCGGAACTGAAACTTGTTAATGTTAATGGCCCATTCCTTTGGAAGATGGAATAGCACCCTGCCAGATGGAATCACAATTCTCAGTTCATTTAGGAGTTCTCTGTGCTTTTAGAGCATCATTCTAAATGTCAGTGACCATTTTTTTGTAGGACCAGAGGTGAGAAGTAGAGTGTGACAAATGTTTGCCAGCTGCTGTAAGACACCAGAGCCATGTGGGAAGGCCTGGGGCTCAAATCTCCAGTCTACCTGAGCATGTCGGGCTTCTGGGCTGCAAGGAAGGTTGGGAGGAGAATCTCTGTGCGACAAGACTCTGACAGAGGTCTCTCTCTCTTGCTTTCTCAATAAATAAATAAATAATAAGTAAATAAACTAAAAGAAAGTGTAAAGTGTGGAGCTTAGTGGGATGTGATGCTTGGCATAATTATAGGTCACCTTCTCTTCCTTGTATACATTCATGACATAAACTGTTTCATTTCTTGTCTCTTCTATTGGCAGTAAACAAATGGATCAGTGAATGAACAAACTAAGCTGAGAGACTGAAGCTAAATGGTGTTTTTATTAAAAGGAGGTTTACATTTAGAGAGTAAATCATGATAGGGCTTTTTTATTTGAACTTTGAGGTGAGAAAAGAGAAAGTTTCAATGAGGACAAACAGGTTTTTGTTTTGTTTTTTTTTGGCGAGGTTTTTGATATAGGGCACATGTGCTCACCAGAAAGACAGAGAGAGCCAGAGAGACAGAAAGCGAGAAATCATCCCCCAGGGGGGATGGCCACACTGCAATCCCTTCTCCTCCATCCTCCTCTCAGGATCTTGGGCACGCATGCACACATGAGTTTAAGCCACCGGGTCCGGGACTCAAACCACGGTTGACTACATGGGAGTCCAGTGACATAGCCATTACGCCAACTGCTGGCCCCTGAGGTGAGTTTTTTAAGACGCTGATCTGGGACCCAAACCATGGTTCAACAATGTAACCATTACGCCATCTGCTGGTCCACCTCTGTTTGGGGATTCCTGCACTCATGATTCCCAAACTTAAGTGATACAAGTCTACAGTTTATAAACTCTGAGGCTTCTTTTTTTATCCTTTTTCTGTTCAGCTGTGAGCCCAAGCTCGAATGGGGTAAGTTTTCTTACCATCTCTCTGCCAATGGAAGAATTTTTTCCCCTAGTCTGTCCTTTCCCTGAAGGAGAAGCCTTCCCCTAAAGGATGAAGCCTTGATCCTGGCTATATGCGAGGGTTGTTTCAATTCTACCTAATGGCCTGCTAAAGGCTAAGTATCTTTCAAACGCAGGACTGTTCTTCAACTAAGGTTACAGAAACCACCAAGTTTCCCAACCACTATAGAGTAGTTACATCATACATAGTTCATGCTTAAATTTTTGGAATTAAATGTCCATTACTGAATCTTGGGTATTTCATGTCACTCTTGTAAGTTCAGTTATGCATTTTTAAAAGATGAAAACTGTATTTTATTCAGTATTTCTGTTTGTTCTTAGCAAGAAGTTTTTAGGTTAAGTCTGGTATTTAGCTAGAGGCTGCTAAATTTTCCTTAAAGGAAAATTACTGAAGGAAATACTCAAAGATAAGTCATATATTACATGAAAATATACATGTCTCAATATTAAACCACATAAAGTCTAAATAAATGTCTTATAAACTAGTATAATTTGAAATGACTTAAAGAACATTTTAGGCATTCCATTAAAGCTCCAAATTTAATCCATAAAGTATATTAAGTACTACAGTATTAGGGAAAAAGCAATACTTAATCCTTCACTGAAAACAGAATGTGGAACTTACAGTGCATTGTCAAATTTTCCAGAGCTATATTGGTGAACATAAGAAGAATAGGCCAAGTCTTCATGAGCTGTTGCTACATGGATATTTTTGCCACCAAACACTGACTGTCGAATGTCAAGGGCTGCCTGGAAGAATCATAAAAATATGTGACAATACTGAAAACCTTTAGGAAATATCTCCTAAATTAAACATCCTAATAATGTAAATATATAGTATTTACCCAATCCTATAAGTTTGAATCAAGGTAGTCCTGCTGTATTTAAATGACAGTATAGCATAAGACCAGATGGCCTGATTTTCTATCTTTTTTTAAAGAATCATTTTATTTAACTTTATTTGCTTATTTATTTATGTTTAATTTGACCAGAGAGGGAAA